GGTGATTGACGGGTGATGGATGGCTGATTGAGAACGGGTGATTGACGGATGATTAACGGGTGATGGATGGCTGATTGAGAACGGGTGATTGACGGATGATTAATGGGTGATGGATGGCTGATTGAGAACGGGTGATTGACGGATGATTAACGGGTGATGGACGGCTGATTGAGAACGGGTGATTGACGGATGATTAATGGGTGATGGACGGCTGATTGACGGTGATGGACGGGTGATTGACGGTGATTGACGGGTGATGGACAGATGATGGACGGGTGATGGACGGGTGATGGACAGTACCTTCAGTGGACGGGCTCTCAGGGTTGCACTGCCTGTACCTCCTGGAGAAATGAGCGAGGACTCTCTCTCTCTCCTGGGTTTCTCCCATCAGAGCGAAGTGGGTCAGAAACTTCCTGAAGGAGAATCACATTTCAGTCCCATGAGTCCAACAGAACCTCTGGACCAGAACCGATCAGCAGCAGGAGACTGGGTGCAAACTGTCCACTGGTTCAGCCAGATTAATGACACCCGCTCACACCGACCGGAGGTCACTAACATCAGCGTTGCTTTGGCGTCTAAGTTTGGATTTTCTCTGGTCCCTGAGCTACCACGGAGGGCCAGGCTAGACATTTTTTACATTTTGAGAATACATTTGTAATATTACAAGAATAAAGTCATAATATTTCGAGAATGAAGTCATCAAACCAAAACCTGTTTCAGAAAGAAAGCTTGGAGCTCCGCCCAGCAGATGACGGCCGACCAGCTCCACCAATCAGCAACCAGAGTCCACTTTGACATCCTGCCCAGTTTGATGCTGCTGCTAAAAGATACTTTATTCAAATGGTTTTTTGACTTTATTCTCGTAATAAAAAAATAAATCTCTAGCCCTACTGATCGGACCAGTGATGACCTGTGCTGTGAATTGGTGCTTTATCAGAAACTGAACGGTTCACTGATTCAGGGAGTCACATGTTCACCGATTCACTGGTTTCCTTATTCAATGGATCACTTCTACACTCACATCCTCATCATAAGGTTTCAGTGATTTTTAGCAAAATGTTCTACAGTGAAAAGCTTTGATGTTTGATCCAAACGGTTCTAATTAACCAGATGAAGGTGAATCAACATTTCAGAGGTTTTTACTCTAAAACCTAAAACACTCCTTCCTGTTAAAACCCAGCAGTCACCGGGTCCAGAACCAGAGTCCAGAACTGACCTTAATGCCTGCTCGATGTTCATACCACTGAAGTTAAAGTGACTGAGATATTCCTGCGCCACCAACTGGCTGAAGTCGTTACTGCAGAATAAAGAGAGAAATTAGTTTTTCCGTTAGTTTCAGCTCCTCCTTATTCCGACGTTTGGAGGCAGAACCTTACTTCTTGCTGAGGTGTCGCGCCACATCGGACTTCCTGAAGCCATCCAGGTTGTAGAGCCGCTTGGCCAGACGTTTGGCTGCCAGCAGGTCCGGCTTCAAGCCATTGGTCAGGACCTCGTCGCTTCCGCCCAGCGCCAGGCGCTCCGCCACGTCGGCCTGGGGGTACAGCAGCTCGGGGGGACGGTTCCCTGGACGCTCCCTGAGGACATGAGAAGTCTTTATTTGAGCTCTGGGACTTTATTTCCAAACATCCTCTTCCTATTCTGGTCCGAGTCCCTGAAGTCCAGTCAGCTTTTTTAGTACAAGTTTGTCTGCAGAGAATAAACTTTGGTTTGCTGCATATAAACATGAGGAGTCTCTAACTTTCAAGCTTTGGATGGATGCCGAGGTTCTAATCGTTCCTGAGACACGGGGAAGGGACGCTGTCCTTTACTGGGCAACATGTCACCCGGTCAGTGTCAGAGCTCCACGCCATTCTCTCCACTCTGCATGGTCACTTTGTCCATCATCCCTTCACTCAGAGGGAACTACTGCTGGATGGAGCCAGTCTCCAGTACAGTTATAAATGGCCGCCATGTTTATTGGGAGAGGATGTTTTTTTTAATTATGCATTAAATCTGTAAATGGACCATATAGTAATGCTTTAAAGTATAATATTCTTGCCTCAAATGATCTTAAAACGTACTTTTTATTGAGCAACAGAAAGAGAACTTTTAACTTCCCATGGAGCGCTCCATTGGAAGCTGCTGCTGCCGCAGTGCATGCTGGGACAGCTTTGTCGCCACGCCCTCAAAACCCCGCCCACTTTGCATCCAGACATTAAAAACACATCTCTGCGCTGTGATTGGCCCGCCAGATTTAGGGCCTGGGGCATCGATCGAGGCTGCAGGCAGAAATGATTTTGGCCGCTGGTGGGCGGGGCTAGTTTACTCAGCTACTAAATGACGTCTCGTTTCTTTTTCCTTACTTGTTATTTTCTGTCAGTGTGACGAAGATGCGACAAACCAGATGAACTAACATTTAATGCATGCGTTTCCTCCGCCATTAGATCACCGTTACATCCTCTGCCAAAATAAAACCAGCCTGCACTGATGCAGATTCACTATTTAGGGGCTGAACCGTCCACTCACCCTACCCACTACGTGGATTGGGACGGCCCTTAAAGTGGCGGCCCCTCCTTGGGAATGGAGGGTTAGTGTCTGGGGGCTGGTCTGGGATCGGACCGGTGTAATACTCCAACAATGAGTGAAATAAGAAAAGACTCATTAGGTTTTTATCGACTCTTAGAAGTTTTCAACCCTTTGAACTCCTCGGCTGGATCTCATATTCAGTGGGATTAATAAAAGCATTTGGATCATTTGAGGAAATCTGTTCATCAATATATAAAAGATTTGTTGTTTATTGAAAATAAAACCAGTGCATAAAGATCACTGAATAATAATTAAACTTCAATAATAATCCATTAACCCTTTATAGGGCGCTCAGTGAAATACTTTGAATCCAAATTTCCAGCCAATAGTGTTACTGGAATCCAGGAAAAGACCTTATTTCCTTTGGAATATTTAAAAAATATGGATATTTTGATGGAAAATAACAAGAAAAAACAACTTACCCAAATACATTAAGAAAAATAACAAAAGTGCTTCTATAAGAAATTCAGTAAAAACATTTTATTTGGTCCAATATAACCTCAGAGGCGTTAATGCTGATACTGGCACTGACATTATTAAGTTTATAAACCTAAATATAACTGCTAACTAGGCTTATTGATGTTTTAACTTTACTTTTTAACTTTTCTATTAGCTTTTACCTTTTAATTGACTTGTTAACTTAATTTACAGTAGGTCAGCTAATAGGTCAGGATCTGATCCAGCATGGATAAACACAGTTAGGACTGATTTAAAGACCTTTATAGAAAATGCAAAGTAGAATGAACAATCTGGGATTCACATGGAAAATAATAGAATATAGTCGACTTCTTAAACACGTTTGTTCATTTCCATAGTTGCTCTTAAATAAACACATTCTCACAAAATAAATAGTTTTTATATATTACAAAAATCTAAAGCTGACTGATAGTTTCTTTTTATTTTTTTATGTTTGTGACTCAATATTGGACAAAAACACAGATTAACCTTCACAGCCTCAGAAGGACGAGATTTATGGACAGAAACTAAACCTGGACATGAAATTATGTTTAGTTTTTATAAGGTGTTTTTCTAATATTGTTTGCATTCATATAAATATATTAGTGTGATAACTTAGTATACGTTTGACTGGTTTTTGGTAAACATCTATTTTGCATTTAAACCCCCCCCTGGAGAAAACTCCACCAGCCGTCACTATATTGAACAATAATGAAACTTAAAATGATCTCATCTCTATTCAAGCACACATGCTTCCCATAATCATGATTAAAGTGGGTTTGGTCCAACATAACCACTCTTAGGTTATGTTGGACCAATAAAACGTGTCCACTTGGAAATCCAAAAGACACGTAACAAAAGATAGCGATGAGAAAATTAAACGCAAAAACATCACAATCCCTTATGTTGCTGGAGTGTCTGAAAAGCTCAAGAGGATTTTCTCCAAACACAAAATCCCAGAACATTTCAAGCTAAACCCTTAAATGGGTTGAATTGTACTGGGATTTAGTGTTTGGAGTCTGCCTTTTAATGACTGACCCTCAGAATCATAGACAGGTTTCAGATATTTCAGGCTAACGATGGAACCAAACGACCCGCTCATCGGTTACCTTTTGCATGTTTCCAAGCTCCACCTTTACGCAGATGATGCAGTCCTTCTGCAGACAGCATCATTATTCTCACTGCATCATCAACCTACGATAAAAACTCCAAACTAACCTCCTCTGTCATGGCGGATGTTTGGCACCACTCTGCTTTACATTTCATCACAAAGACCTCCTTCTGCACAGAGGACTGTATCCAACGGTAAACTGCTCACCAGGCTGAAGGTGAAGCGTTTGAGTCCGTTTCTAAACGACCACCTCCATCCTATCTCTGCCTTTTCCTAAACTCGGCAGTGACTCCCTAATTCTACTCCACGTTCTCAGCATCAGATCAGAACAAGGAGAAGCAGGTTTCTGCTGAGCAACAAGCAACAAGCCTTGGATCAGCAGCAGCTTCTGAAGAAAGAAAAGCTGTTATTGTTCCAGCTTAAAGCTTTAATTTCACTCTCTGGGTTAGGCACAGCACTGTTGCCATGGTTTCAGCGTTACTGTAGTGATGTTCGGCCTCCTTGTTCAAAACTACGAATCATTTCTTCATCACCGCCTTTCCTGTTTAGACTGAGCTCAATAATAATCTCAGGGTGTTTCTGACATCATCTGTTTTGCCGTTTCTGTGGCATCCACTGTCGCCATGGTAACACAGCAAACAGACGGCTGAAGCCGATGAACGCGATGCGTCGTGATGCGATACCGAAAGATTACATCATGTATTACACACGTGTGTTATTACATGTTAGCTGCTAAAAAAGATGAAATAATTTGATGATAAAAGATCAAATGTTTCTTTATATTTCTATCCTCCTCTATATAGTGGATGGATGGCAGCAGGATGCCCCCCTACCACTACACCACCTTCTCCATGCCTCACAGGTGGAACCATATATGATCCAATTACACCTCCAGGCTGTGCAGAACCTGCCCGACCCCCAGAACCAAACCCAGTTCAGACGGTTTGGGATGAACCGGACCTCAGTGGCAGCCATACGGTCCGTGACGGCTGTGCAGGAGGTTCTGATTCAGTCAAACAGAAACCAAATAATAACGGTGATGCTTTTATTTTGAAAGCAGCAGCTTGTTCCTGTCGTTGGAGTCAGAACCGGCAGCAGAACCGCACTTAACGTCCGATCAATGAGCAGACAGAACTGATTTAGAAGGGAAATATAAACCCTACCAATCAGGGGCTGCTATCCAGATCGCCATGGCAACAGATTAAAGTATAAAGTTCATTATGACCCTAACAGAACCTCCCAGAACCAGCAAACAGAACTTACTCTGTGGAACTAATCCCTAACACACCCGGTTCCTAAACGCTCCATCCCTGCTGCATCACCAACCTTCCTCCTGAGAGAGACGAGCTAAATCAGAAGCAACGCACCGGTCTGCGGCGGCGGGAACGCGTCTGCCCTCCATCAGCCGATCCTCCTGGTGCCGCGCAGGAAGTGAAGTCAGACGCTGAATCAAAGTTAGAAAGTGGGAAGTGGTTCAGCTGCAGCGTGGACCGGACTCACTTCCTTTAATGAAGTCAAGCTTCCCCTCAGCGGGTCTCTGCGGTCAGGAGAACCCTCGCCGTTACTATGGCAACCAACTGTTGTCAGAATCAGCACGACCCAAACGCTCTTCCCATCCGACGCTTTACTGGACCCGGATCTTCAGGACCTGAGGAGGCTGATGAAGGTCTCTGCTGTTCCGGGAATGAAGGGACCGTTTCCTGGAGAACAGGAACTCAAACCCGGATGTTTTCCTCCCTCTGCCAACCCAAACATCCAGGAATGCTTCAGGAAGCTCCTCAGGCTGATGCTAGTTTGGTTCCTCCTGCAGGTCTGGACCCTGAACATCTGAGGAACCCTCTTCTTCCTCAGCTGCATGGCCTCAGTAAGGCGTCTGAACGATTCCTGGATAGCGGAGCGGTTCTGATCCGTTATCTGGGAACATCAGGACCGGTCTGACCCACAGCTGTTCTTCTCCTCCATCCAGCGGAGCAGAAACCAGACATGGAGGAGCATTAGGTCTGTCTCCATGGAAACTATCTGTTGATCTCTACCCCGCCATGACTGGACCAGGTCTCCAGACCAGCTCTGGACTCGTTGCTATGGAAACGCCCCCCCGCCTGCACCTCCTATCCTTCCCCAGCAGGGAGCAGACGCTCCTCCAGGTCAATAATCCACGGATCAACCGTCTGGACCCAGAGAGGAGGGAGGGCCGGGTCAGAACCAGAGCCTGGCTGTTGTTTTCCAGGGTGTGTCCGTCTGACTGAAACCACGGCGACCGAACCGCCGACTCACTCTGACTCACTCCAGCACCAGCAGACGCTCGCCCCCTCCCTGCCAGCCCGTCTCTGAGTCCCGGCTGGAAGCAGGTCCTGGAGAACCTACTGGGTCAGCGGTGATGGTGGAGAATATCAGCTGGTTCTACTGAGCTGTTCCTAATAAAGTGGCCGGGTTTTCTGCAGGGCCGGTCCAGTTAAAGCAGCATCAGTCGGAACCAGTGGCTCCAGTAGAACCAAACCCTGGTTCTGACCCGTCCCTGAACTTCTGACCCGCTAAGAGGTTCTGATCTCCTCGGACTCACCTGTACACGGCGGGGTAGGGGGGAGAGCTCAGGTACCTGTCCTCCAGAGTCCCGCCCCCCCAGCACAGCAGGTAGCTCGCCATGACGACGAGGCCCCGCCCACAGCCAGCCAGGTGATGTTGGGGGCCCGCCTCAGCGGCCAATCAAATGCCACCGACGCTGCTGAGCGACATCACCATGACATCATCATCTCCTGTGATACCCCGGTCTTCTTCCTCACTCTTCCTCTCTGCCCGCAGCCGTTCGGCGGCCTGTGAAAGCGCCGGCGTTCCCTCAGTCCGCTCGCGTTCGGCTGCTCTGAGGGACGGAGGTATGTGCTTCCTCCCCCGGCCGACCCGGGACGCTCCTCCTCCCCCCTGTCCTCTCCTTCCCCTCTTCCTCTCTTTGTCTCATCTTACATCCTGGAAGTTTCTATCTGCAGCAAACTTCACTGGAACCTAAAATAAATCCTGGACTGGGATCCAGTGGAAAACCTGAACTGGATCGCCAGAACGAACCAGAACCTGAACTCAGGAATCAGCTGAACCTCCTGCTGGTTCCGTGTGCAGCTTCAGAGAGACTTCTGTTCTCACATGGAGGGACGACAGAGCAAAACAATGACTGAAGGTGAAGCTCCAGCGGCTGCAGCTCAGTGAGAGGAGGTCAGAGGTCAGAGGAGCTGCAGAACAGATGGTAAAGCTCCACATGGCTGACAGAGAGGAGGGGGAGGAGGAGGAGGAGGAGGAGGAGGAGGAAGATCTCGGCTTTCCTGACGGGAGTGGGAGGTCCTCCTTTCCATCCCGTCTCTGAGATGCTGTCTGGATGAAACTGTGTGGAATTTCCCTCCCAACACGGACAGCGTGCATGTGAACGTGCACGTGTGTTCACGTGCGTGTTCTTGATGCTCCGCCTCTGTGAGGACGGACTTCCAGTTTAAAATGTTCTAAGGAGCTTCAAAGGAAAATCTGGATTGAATTTAACCCACATTCCTAAGAAACACGAGCTGGGAGTGAGGAGGGCGGGGTGTGAGGTCTGACTGCGGCGCATCGGGAGAAGCTGCCGCCGCTGTCGTTGTTGTTTGGGTGGGATCCTGTTTTCATTTCCAGGCCCGGATTCTTTGGCCCAGTTCCGACCCGTTTCCCCCGCTCCCCAGTGTTTGGATGGGAGTTCTGTGGGTCCACACCCAGTGGAGGAGCGGAACCAGGCCAGAAGAAAAAGCCAGAAACATCCCAGCAGCTCTCCTTCCTTTCCTCGACTGCCTGAATGTGTTCAGGAAGAAAGAGAGGAAAAGGAAGCAGGAAGTTCACAGTCCAAGAAGAAGAAGAGGACTCTACCAGCGGACAATAAACTGGTACTGATTCAGGATCTGTGACGTTCCTCTGATTTAAGGAGCAGAACTTCATCCCCGTCTTCTTCTAGAGGCTTCAGAACCACATGATGGACGCGTCCAATCAGAACTCAGTCTGTTTTAACAAGAGGACCTTCTATTGATCCCTTCCTGGAGGAATAAACTAGAACCAGTCACTAATCTGACCCTTCATTAATGAAAAACCAATAAAGATGCTAAAAGCGGTTCTGACAGGTTTGGACCTTTAGACTTAACTGCAGCCAACGGTTCCTGGTTCTAAGAACATCTTCTGGGTCCTCTGGGGAGCTGAATTTACCAGAACCTTCAGGTCCAATGGGTTCTGATGCCTGAAAGGACCCAACATAAAGTGAGACCTCTGCTAGCAGCGAGCTGGACCGGGCCCCTCGACTCCCCCACCAAAGGCTCCATACAGAGAATCCCTTCTTAAAGCTCTACATCGGAACCAGAACCGACCCAGTTAAGCCCAACACACAGAACATCTCCAGATACGTTTGATGATGCCGAACAAAACACCAGAACCATCAAGAATCTTAACGGGTCAAAGAGCCATGACAGCATCAGGAACCAGACCTGGCTCTGCAGGTCACTCTGTTGGATCAGAACATCTAAGTCCTTCAACCAGAAGGACCAGAACAGAACCACCAGGTTCTAAAACTGAACACAGAACAGAGAGCGTCTGAGTCCAGATGGAGGTCTGATCCTAACATGGCTGGAGGAAAAAAAACAGAACCAGAACCAGCTTCAGGACCACCTGATCCAGAAACTGGTTCTGGATAGACTGACGGACAGATGGATGGATGGATGGATGGATGGATGGATGGATGGATGGATGGATGGATGGATGGATGGACGGACGGACGGACGGACGGACGGACGGATGCGGTCAGTGAATCTAGATGATCTTCTGTTTTTCTTTTTTCCTGCAGCAATCACAGTGATTCAGCGTTGCCATGGTAACAGGCTGAAATGGGACTCCAGGTGTGAGTGACAGCAGGACGGATCGGCACAGAGCTCCAGAGCAGATCTGAGCTCCGTCTGCCCCGATTCTGATGATTCATGTTCAGAGTTCTGAGCTCAGCTTCAACATCTTTAATTGGATTTAATATCAGTGAAATAAGAAGAATTTAACCATCATGGCACCATGAAGGGTTTTATCTTCTATTATCATCATCCTCATCACCTTCATCCATCAGGGACAATTTAGTTTAGTATTGTATCTTTATTGATGTTAGAATAAAGTTCTGTTTGTCTTTTTTATAGTTTGTTTTGATGAAGGTGCTTCTGCAGGTACTGGTTCTGTTTCTACCTTTGCTCCATTTGGAAAAGGTTCTGATTGCTGCTGCAGAAACAGACATTTTTCTGAATCTGATCTTTAACCAGAACAAACAGGACTGTGCTGCCATCCTGTGGCTGTTCAGTGCTACTGCAGCAGGTTCTGTTTTTACATAGAACTGAAGTTCTGAACCAGAGTCCCAGCGTCAGGAGGCCGGGGTCACACTTCCTGAAGCTGAACTCACAAGAGGACTCAGAATACCGGACTTTAGAAAGCAAAAGAGAAAATCCTTCTCAGAACCGTAAGGTTCTGTCTGAATTGGACCGGGAAGGTCTACAGATGAACCCTGAAAGGATCCAGGTTTTAAACCAGCACAGATCTGAGCCATCTACCAGCAGCTTCAGGTCCAACTCACCTGCTATGCAGCGCCGGCACTGAGCTCGCTTTTCTGAAACCCTCTTTCACGATGGAGCACCGCCATGACTCCTTCTGAGACCGGGACCGGACCGGGGGTCCCGAGTCGTCCTTGGATCTTCCATGGAGCCCATCTCCTGAGGCGCTGAGGGCCGTCTCAGAACGTGACGTCTCAGAACAGGCCAAAGAGTCTGTTCGGGCCAGTGGGGCAAAACTCAGCTCCAGAATCTGTTTGGCGCTCTCACAGATCTGACTCTGAACAAAGAAACAGTTTGATGACACTTGTTCGCATCTACAGGCATCAGGTCCTCAGTCTGCCTCCTACCTGGATCTCTGGGGTGAGGGTCGGTAGGTCAAAGGTGAACACAGAGGTGGACCCAGAAGTCAGCAGGTCCACACTGTCCAGACTGCTGTAGGACGTCCCTTTGGCTCGGTGGGACTCCATGATGCTCTCAAAGTGGCGACTGAAGGAGTCCAAGTTGCTTTCAGACGGCCGGCGGGGACTGTCGACCGAGATCGGAGACTTCAGGCCTCCATGGGCATCAGATGATGGCTCCAAAGTCCTGGTGGATGAGAATCTATCACACTTTGTGGGCCAAACCCGGGGTGGGGGGTCAGACAGCAGGGGCAAGAAAGGAGTAGTTCAGTTTAGGGGATCTGTTGCTCTAATAGCCAAAGTTCTCCTCTGATCCTTTCCTGTGTTTATGGTCTAGTTTAATTACAGAAAAAATATCAGCCAATCACAGGCAAATAGGATGGACTTTCTCCATCCAGGATCCTGTAATCTGTCAAACGTTTGCCTCTGTTGGTCCAAGAAAATAGAATAACTGGACAGAATCCATCTAATCTAGATCCAACTATTAAAGATGACCGAATCTGAAAAATCACCTCTAACTCAGATTTTATTCACCCTAAAGGATGAAAGGTATGCAGAAGCTACTCCGTAGGAAGGTTCTCCGGCTTCCTCCAACAGCCCAAAATCATGACTGGGAAAGCCTCCATGACTTCCTGTAACAAGTGCTAATGTCTCAACCTGTGCAGATCAACCTTCTACCACAGTAACGGAGAATGACAATTATTTTCCTCTGCATTAGATGAAAAAAATTTTTATATGATAACAGTGTTGGATGATAACGGTGTTGGATTATAACAGGGTAGGATGATAACAGAGATTGGATTTATTGAATTTATATGATCTCGCAGTGGAGAAATTGACTACTAACATGGTGGATGATAAAGGTGTTGGATGATAAGTGTCAGATGATGACGCCTTGGATAATAACAGTGTCTTGTTGAATGATAACAGTGTGGGATGATGACAGTGTCGGATGATGACGTGTCGGATGATGACGTGTCGGATGATGACGTGTCGGATGATGACAGTGTCGGATGATGACAGTGTCGGATGATGACAGTGTCGGAT